CCTACTTTTAAAAAAACCCCAGTATTTATCACAGGTTAACCCAGTTGCTAGAGGGAAGTTAAAACCATATAATTCTGTCAGAATACTATAAACATTGCTTGAAGTTGACTTGCAGATTTATTGGCTAACTTAAATCACAGCTATCAAAATTGAATAGTCTGTTTTATAGCTCAGGTAAATGAATCTTTTCCTTATCTGCTTCTTCTTTTTGAAATGCGAATGTTTTGTCCTCTACAACTAAGAGATGAATTATTAGCTCGTGGCACTGTGTTATGATTTACCACAGATATAAGAGGATTTGAATGCGCTTTCTATTTAAGGGATACTGTCAACTGTTGAAGGCCATGACATTCATCTTCCTCCAGGAAGGAAAATCCTGTGCAGCATTTCTGGACATTTTAAATGTCTATTTTTAAATATTTTGCATTTGCGAGGCTTTATTTAGTGGTGGTGTTGGTGGTGTGTTAAACTTTTAAGCAGTTTTACGCCAGTGTGCTCATAGCTTTCCTTTGAAGAATTGTTTCACTCTGTGGGAGTGATTCACTAGTGTATAAACCCCCTTCCTCAGAGAGATGTCAATTCTCAGACAGTATTTTACCTGCTGTTGCTGTGAGGTGTTTCTAAAACTACAGTACCTAAGAGAACTAAAGGGGAAAAAAGTGTCATTTTCAGATGGTTTTTGTACTTAGCGGAATTCTGGATCTTTCAATAACAAAGAACAAAGCTTTCTTTCTATGAACTTTCACAAACAGGATGGAAAGAAAGAATAAATTTGGAAATATTTCTGTGTTTGTGACTGTTAAAAACTTGAGCAGCTGCCAAACTCAGATTAATGATTTATTTTTCTGATATGACTATCAGCACTCTTGATGCTTTATTTTAAACCTTGGAAGCAGACAAGTGCTGTGCATCATTTTTCCTTCCCTTGCATACTAACACATTCTCTTTAAACTGTAGCACTCTCATTCTGTATTGTAATATGGATCTAATTGTTCAATAGAATATTTTTAGGGAGGGGAAAGAGAGACTTTTCTTTTTTCAGTACTTGCAGAAGCTAGTTTATTGTTCCTTAAAGTCTCACGAGGTGAGAGAGACGAATATATATATATAGCTGTATGTTTCCAGTTTGGTGAAATTCTATGCCTGCACTTGAAAAAAAAAAAGCCTGTAAGAGTGGAACTGTGTTCCTTTGAGTCTCTGTTGAAGGTGAGGAATGAGCCTGATGAAGATCAGCAGATCAGAAGGCAAAGTCTTTGCCCTGCATATTGTTATGTTTCCTGACGTATTCTGTTAATGCTGCATAGTTGAGGATGTTGATAAATGTAAAAAATTATTGGGCATGCAGCTCCTGACAAATGTTTTGACTGCAGAAGATCAGTGTGTACATTATAATACTGGTGTTTCCTAATCATTAAATACTCCTGATTTCTTTATGGATAATATGGTGATGCTCATGATTTCCTTAGGATTGAGGTTCAGAAAATTTAATGTGATGTTTGCAGCTGAATTTTTGCATTACAGAACAACATGAGGCAGTGTAATAGAAATAGAATGCAAAGGAATGTCACCTCCTGGAAAATGTTTTCATACTCTGTCACATTTTATGTGAATGTCAGTAAATTACAGTGAGAGGCTGTACAGAATGAGATGGAGTAAAAATGTATTGGAAGTAGTTTCCAGATTTTTTTAAAAGGTAATATTACCTTTGTCATCATTTATATTATATATATTACCTCATTTTTTCCAAACAGATTTTATTTCTAAAATAGATTCACAGGTTTGGGGGAAATCATGAGTCTTTTTTAAAAAAATAGAGTACAATTGGAATGCTTCAAAAAAGGGTACCAAGCACTTGGATATTTAAAATGCTGAAGGCCTTTACCTAAAATGATCTGTGCACTCACATAAATCTTAATTTGACTGATTAATGAATCCAGGCTGAGCTGACTGTGATTTCAGGGGATTCTCAAGGCAAGTGAATGGTAAACAGTTAAACAGCATTTTAATTTGTTGATGTCCATATTCAGACATTTTAGGGCTCTCCAGCCCTTGAAAGTATTTCTTTTGTCTTAGTTTGTCTGAAATATGCAAGTGAGATTCCAGCCAAAGGATGGAAATATTAGTTCTTTGAAATAAACAGAAGCATGTAAAAACTTCCTGTTATATGATGCTTTTGATTCCCAAGACACTCTTGAAACCTTCGTAGTCCATTTTCAGTTTGAATATTAGAGGAAAAGGAAAAAAACTATGACTAGCTGGAGCTCTGTTAGTTAACATTAAAGCAGCAAAAAATGCTTACATAGCTGAATCATAATGGTTTGGTATCTATATACTGATGTCCAGACAAAACTTAGTGAAGCAAGAGAAGTTTCAGCCCAGACCAACAATTTGCAATATATGTAAAAGCCAATAGAATTCTCAACCTTTATAGCTTTATAGGTGACAAGTGCTACCCTGAGGTACTAATCAAAACAAATTGCTTTTCTCATTCTGACCTCCTTGTAGTCCTTTCAGTCTCTTAATGGTTTGATTTGTAACAGGAGTTACAGTTACCAGTGCTTCTCTCAATTACAATTTTATGCTCACAGGCTGGAGGAACTGGCTGTGATTTGTGCTAATTATGGCATTCCCCATATTGTCAACAATGCATATGGAGTTCAGTCTTCAAAATGTATGCACCTTATCGAGCAGGTAGGAGCTGTGTATTTCCAGTAACATTTGTTTTAGCACATATGAGTAAATCTCTGATGGCAGACAGCCTAGCAAATTTATCAGGTGTTTCTTAGCTATGAGAGTAATCTCATGCATGTCTGATATTTGAACAATATCCTGAGAAAGCAAAACAGAGAGAAATAAAACTTAAAAATAATATTTTTTATTTCTATGATGTGCTTTTGTTGTAATAGCCCTAAATTTGTTTAGGTTTCGTGTGTCTTTCATAATCGAAAAATGTCCTTAATAAGATTTCTTAAAATATTTCCTAAGCTTGTTGACTAAAAGTAAAATAATGGATCATACTTGAATAGGGATTAAGCCTTCAACAGAACATGACTTCAGGATTTTCAATTGAAGGTACAGGATTCTACAGCAACATTTTATAGATGTTGTCACTGCTAAAGTATTTTTGGCATGGAGAAGGGCTGAGGATTAAGTTCACTGTTATGTTCAAAAAATTTTAGTTTCTGTTGCTGCCTAGTTTGAGGAGGATGTTTCTTGATATCTAAGATCAGCCATGAAACAGAATTCTTGCAGTTTTACTCATTGTATTCTACATGAACTTTTCTTCAATATTTCTCTTTTCTCTCTGTTGCCCATAGCAAAAGAATAGGGGATTAGATTTTAACAGGATCCAGGAGATCATCTATTTCCTGATTGCTAAGACATGTTACACCAGCTTGGTGTATAATTGTGACAGGAATGTCGTGTTGGCATTTCTGCATCTTGGAACACCGAGGGGATTTAACAAAACAAGAAGTTATTTGTGAAATAGAAAAATGGTATATGTTTTATTTGTAACGTACTTTGTACTTGTTTATTGTATTTAACTTGCATAGCTTTAGTGAGACAGCAACATGAAGGGGCCTGTGGAAATGCTGGGGTTGGCTGCATGAAATGTACCTAATGATAAGGATAAGCATTGCAGACTATGAAGCTACAAATAGAACTTTGTTGGTTTCTGTGTTTTTTCGAGATGCGATAGGATGTTTGGGTGTTTTTCTTGCTTATGCAAGTATATACATTTGAGCTCTGATTTGTTTTGCCTTTATTTGCAAAAATTTATTTTGCATGCCAGAAATTGTGCTGTTTATGAGGAAATAGTTATTAATGAATACTTAGGAATATGGACATGCTGAGCACAGTGTGAATAGAACTTGCAAGAGTATCACAGGAAAGAGCTTGTGAGTCCATTTCATTTGTTGTGCTTTTCCTCTGGTGGTCTCCTGGCAATTAAACCAAATGGTAGCTGATGGCATTCATCTTCCCATCAAAAAGCTGACAAACTTGGGGTGCTTCTCCCTATCTCCCATGCATTCAGCTATCAAAACAGAGAAATAATAAATGCACTGTAGTTGGATCTGCTTTTTTTTTTCCAGACTGTTTGCCATAGGCATCAGCTCCATTTCTATTTCTTGCATTTAGTTTGTGGTACTTTAAAACCTCTGTGTTTGCATGTGCTGTAGTATGTGTGGGGTTTAACATGCTTTACAGGTTCTCTTAAGCTGCAGAATTTCTAATTATACAGTTTCTCAGATTGTGCAGTACATTGTCAATCTGCATTTTCTCCTTTAAGATTATCTGAGTGGTTAAGTATAAGGATGTTTGTTTCCTGGGAAGTGGGGGCTAACTTCTTCTAGCAGGCTGTCTGGATCTTGATTTTATTGCTTAGAAGGAGTGCTGTAACAGCCTCCTTGTTTTAATGCAAATTTATACATGGGTCAAGAAAAACCTTTGCTAATGAAACATCAGCTTGTAGTCCTTTACCGTGAGAATCTGTGAGAAGATTGAACAGTTTTAACTGCATCATTCCCTTTCAGTTTCAAGGGGTTTCTTTCTGGTTGTTGCTGAAAATGAGCTACACTTAGACTTGCAGGAACTGAAATCAATATCTTAATTCTCAACAAAATGGAAATTTGTAAGGTACTGTGTTAAGCAGACATCAGTACTAATAATGAGCAGTGCTAAAAAAGGTAACATTATGATTTCTATTTTTTCATCACAAACGAAGTATCTGAGAAACTTGCAGCAATTATGGTTATTTTAGCTGCATTGTTGTGTAATTATGATGCTATCACATGTTTCCTTTTTTTAACTGTGTGCCGTGGATTTTGTTTTTATTCCTCTCTGACAAAGGGCGCTCGAGTAGGCAGAATAGATGCTTTTGTTCAAAGCCTGGACAAGAATTTTATGGTTCCAGTAGGTGGTGCTATCATTGCTGGCTTCGATGAGTCCTTCATTCAGGAGATCAGCAAAATGTATCCAGGTAACTACTTCATGGACTGATTTCAGCCATAGGAAATAACTGTAGAAAAATTGATTATCAGCTTTCTTCACATAAAATTTATTTTTGCCACTTTAATCTGTATGTTGGGGTTTTTTTTTCAGGAAGAGCATCTGCGTCTCCTTCCTTAGATGTCCTCATTACACTTCTGTCTCTGGGTACCAGTGGCTACAAACAGTTACTGAAAGAGAGAAAGGTAAGCTTTTTGGCAAGCAGCATTTTCCTCAAGTCAGCTGTTATTAAAGTCTTGTTGCAAAACTGCTTTGTGTAGTAAATCCACTTTTGCCTAGAAAGCCATTGAACTTATTCTGAGCTCACAGCTCTGAATCTGGAAAGGCAATGTAATATAATTACTTCTTGGCTAAATGGTGCTCATGAGTAAGCATGATTTCCATGTTGTTGTTCAAACCAGAAAGCTAAGCTGAGATGCTGTATGATCTCATACAGTATTCATATCTGCTGTTCTGAAGTGTGACTAATACAGTAGAATTTTGTCCACAAAAGCTTAATCTGAGGAGTACTGGATTGTGTTATCATGGTCACACTGTTTCCAGGATGTGAGATTGGACTCTCAGAGAAACCCAGGGTCTGCACTCTTCCTCCTGTGTCCCTATTGTGCCTTTGTGCTTTGAAAGTGTTTAATTAAATGTTTGTGTACCACAATCTCTGGAGAATCACAGCTTCTGGTTAGGTTATAAATACTGTGTGTGACCACAAAAGAGAAAAATGCTGTCACTTAAGGTGTTCCTGTAGATACAGAGCGAGGTTTCTTCTCTGCCTCTCGCAGGCTTTTATTTTGGGTGTAGCTGCACTGCACAAAAATCTGATGGGTCTCAGATTGGAATCTGTACATCTTGAGTAATCCTTAATTCCAGAAATAAAAAGAGGCCTGAATTTGTTCTCTTTATATAGTAACACAAAGGATTCTTTCTGTAGAGGCTTTAGATAAGGAAATGCTGTGAATTAAGCACTGTTAAGTTAATAGTTTTAAATCATGCATCACCTGTTTCATTAT